GCGCATCCTCGATTTCAAACAAGGGTGAATGAAGGCAGCAGGGGCTGTAGACTCTGGTGACTTAGAAAGGTGTGGCCTGCTTTCCCAGCCACTCGCTTCAAGGACACTAGAGTGGAAGAAAGCAGTTTTGCTCGACTTGAATCTCCTGCGCAGCTACTGCTTCCTTGTTCTGCAGTGTATCTTGCTGGTGGCCTCCTGTCTGATTACCTTTCCTCTCGTTAGAAAGACACCCCCTCCAACCCCACATCCTCTTACCCCACTTCCCATGGCCCAGGGCTCTATTAAACACAAAACTCCTGCCAAATGCCTGTGGCCTCCAACAGTAAAGAAAAAAAATACAGATGAAAATGAAGAAATTGATATACTTTATTTTTATTTACTATAACTTTTTTTCCAGTGCTAGAGAGGGAACCTTTTGATTTTCATACTAGGCAATCGATCTACCAGACATCCACAGCCCTAAAATTCTTTTGTTTGTCTGTTTTTCAAACTTACCATGTAGCCCTGTTTGATCTGGAGCTCACTATGCAGACCAGACTGGCCACAAACTCAGAGATCCACCTGCCTCAACCTGCGGAGTACTGAGATTAAAGGTGTATGCTACCATGCCAGGTATAGCCCTAAAAATCTTGAAGAGGTTTACAACAAACTAGACATCTTTCAGAAAGGTGTTCACTTCAGAATTTTTAATACGAACATGTATACCACAGCACTTTTTAGAACTGAAGAATTCTTGGTACAGCTGCACTGAGACCAACAGACCAACACAGGTTCTCTCAATGCCCAGGTCCCTTCTTGTAAGGACACTCCCTTCCCTGCCACACAATGCTCGTCTCACCAACTTTCTCAGAACCCAGCTTAAAAAGAGACAGGGCTTGCAGGGCAGTGATGGTGCACCCCATTAATCCTAGCACTTGGGAGGCAGAGGCAGGCAGATCTGTCAGTTCAAGGCCAGCCTGGTCTACAGAGCTAGTTCCAGGACAGCCTAGGCTTCACAAAGAAACCCTACCTTGGAAAAAGGAAGGAAGGAAGGAAGGAAGGAAGGAAGGAAGGAAGGAAGGAAGGAAGGAAGGAAGGAAGGAAGGAAGGAAGGAAGGAATCTGTGCTGGGCGATGGTGGCGCACGCCTTTAATCCCAGCACTCGGGAAGGCAGAAGCAGGTAGATCTTTGTGAGTTTGAGGCCAGCCTGGTCTACAAAAGCTAGTTCCAGAACAGGCTCCAAACGTACAGAGAAACCCTATCTCAAAAAAACAAACAAAAAAAAAGAATTTGTCAGGGATGAGTACAGTGGTTCATGTCTGTAATCTCAGTATTGGGATGGGTCAAGGCAGGAGGACTACTCTGAGTTTGAAACTGTCTTGTGCTACAGAGATATATTAATTAAAGAATTTTAAAAGTGGGACTCAAAGCAACTCAGGAAACATGAACAAGACCAACAACTCCGAACACTCCTTAGAAAATCCTAGTACACATACACACAGCAAAACCTAATTTGGAACATACAGAAAGTCAAAGTCGCCAGGTGGCTCTCAGAAGTATACCCTCAAAACCTGAAATAGGAAAAAGGCAAAAAGTTCAGGAGATCCTAGCACTGATGTGTTAGTGAAATACACCTCAGACCAAGTAAAAATTTTAAGGCTTTCAATGAAAAAGCCTTTCATTACATGTAGAATTTTTAGGCAAAGTAACTTGTCCCTGAACTCAAATCACCATCAAGTTATCATAAAATGTAAATCTATGTTTGGATCATGGATGAGCCAAGAGTAGTGACTGGTGCCCTTAATCCCAGCACTCAGCAAGCTGAGGCAAGTGGATTGCTGAGTTCAGGACAGCCAGGGCTAAGTAGACAGAGAGACCTTGTCTCTGAAAAACAAAAAACACCTCTTATCCAATTATTGCCTCTGAGATCTTTTTACCCTCAGACATGACTAGGATGTTCAGGTAAACAGCAGTTTGGGGCAAAAAGAGGCTTGTGGGCCTCTCTTCAAATATCACCAACAAAATGAATAACTAGCAGCAGCAAGTGTCCCTCCACTTGGCTACGGTCAGACTCCCACGAAAGAGTCCAAGAGCCCCACCTGTTTCCAATTAGATACCAGAATTGCTGGAGTGTTTAAACTGCATTTGCTTGCTACTTACACAAAACAAGTCTTCCAGGTTTTTTGAATGGTTAGAATATGTTAAAATAAGATTAAGGGTCTGGTTTAAACAATCAGAGGCAGGGGAATTTCAATTGAAACCAAAACTATCTCTCTGCGGCAGCAATAACCCAGAGCTTCAGACAAAACAAAAAGACGAGGTAGACACATTTCTGCCGCTGACAATGACTAATAAAAATCGGACCTTTCTTGGGAAGGGCATATATACTTTAAAGCAACGTATTAAATTTCAAATAAATTTAAAATAATTCTTATAGTCACTTACAATTCTATATAGCAGAATAACTTACTACAGTAACTTAACATTCATGTTATGCCCCAGTAAGATACGTGAAATTTTTGGAAACTATAAAAGGAACCAAGGTCAAGAACAGAGATTTTTCTTATGGTGACATTTCTCCTAAAGTAATATACAGATTGTCCCCTAACAAATCTATCTTTCCTTCATTTCACTATGGAATAGAGACTTGGACTTTTCTCTGGCCTTATTTTTCCTACAATCCCAGGAAAACCGTGACCATCAATGGAAAGCTCCCACACACACTGATAGTTTTCTCTTCTTTGACTGTCAACAGAAAAGGTACTTTTAAAACTAGCAAGTGTCTTGGGCTCAGTGGGGTTGAGCAGATGGCAGGTCCACTCAATGGATTAGGAGAGAAAAATTCTTGAATAGACTGAGTTGTCTGTTCCCATTTCCAAGTTAGACCTGAGTATTGATAGAAGACAGGCCAAAGGGCTTCAGTGCAACCAACCGCATCAAGAGTTACTGCATTATTTTATTCTTGCACTGACTTGTGCCTTAAAAAAAAGAAAAAAGAAAAAAAAAGGTTTCACCCAGGTAAAAGCTTTAAGCAACTGATAATAACCCTTCCCACACCCAGTCTCATAAGACACCTATATTAAAAGAACCAGGAAAAGAAAAAATAGGAGTGCCCTGCATCATTTGTTCATTCATTATCCTATCAAAGGCACTAAGGGAGGTATTTTAATTGAAATTATATACCTATTACAAGGAGCAGAGTTGGAGTGCTGGAAACACAACTCACACACACAAACACATGCACACACATATACAAATTCAAGCATGGCCATAAGAGGAAACAAAGAAAAGCAACCAGAAAATGGACTTCAGCAAAAACTGAACTGGTTTTTTAATTTGGGGAGAGAACAATTTTAAAGTTCACTTTTGCAGGGAAAACGCCCCAGACTGACGCAGTCACAGGCAGGCCCCATCCCCGAGATCCACTAATGTGAAAACAAGTTACAAGAGTTAAATATACCTCTTTTCAAACATGTATTTAAAAGATAAATTTATACAATAGTGTTTTTCTTAATTAAAAAAAATTTGGTTTTTACAAGTCTGGGACAGGATCAAAACTTGTTCAACTAGTCTTAGCAATGCTAGAGCACACTAATTTTGCACAGGACAAGCCTCAGTTGGTGATGAGAAAGGAAACAGTCCAGTTTTCAGAAACTCTCTTTAGCAGCAGACATCCACTCCAAGTCCCAAGGTGGTTTTAAGACCCAAGAAGAAGGGGCATAAGAACATAGCCCTCCAAGATGCTGAAGGGGTGCAGGGTCCTGCTGCATCTAGCCAAGACCTAACTGGATCCAGCTAAGATTTAGAGAAGGCTTTCAGTCAGTTGGATCTCAGTGATACCTAAAAAATTCTCACCCAAAATCTCCGACTCTCCATTAGTGAGAAAAGAGGACCCTCAACCAGATACCAACTCAAAAACCCTGGACCTAAGCTCCCAGATAAAGGAGCAGTCCAGAATCACACTTGATCTTTGGCATTCCAAGTTCAAGTAAGGCTTTCAAAGTTGCCTACTGGTGACATAGTTGAAACCACCTAAGGCCAAATCGTTATCTACCAAAAGCCAATAGTCTCTGTAACAACAACAGTGCTTAAACAAAGGGTTTTGTTTGTTGTTGTTGTTTTAAGGGCAACAGAAAGTTCTTTCGTGTTAACTACAAGTGAAACTTACAATGAAGTCCTGAGGTGAAACGTCCTCAAGATCCCCCAAGAAAGCTATTCAATGTATTGGGGGGCTGGAGAGGCTGCAAGAACAAACACCAAGTTCATAAAATCTATTAATTCTCAAGAAACCAAATCATTTTTCTGGCCTTCTTTGGTAATCCTTAATAAAGGAACTTTACTGATATTAAACTGGGATGTCACAAGAGGGTGGTGATAGCGAAAATTAAGGTTTGTTTCTTAAAATTCCACAACGGGTTTTACAGTAAGCACACGAATTAAATTATGGTAAAAGGGAGCTATTTTTACTAAAATAGGGTAGACCAATTAATCAAAAAATGCCATCCGGCTGTGTACATTACATTCAGGAATCTAATTTACACAATAGACACTATGGAGTAATCTATCTTAGTCAGTAAATACTCGAACTTCTTTAAGTTTTAATCTTATCAGAAGTACATATTTCACATAGTCTTCCTTAGTTAAGAGAGAAATGGGAGGAAATTTCATAACGAGTATGAGTCTGCCTTATCGTCCTCACGTAGGCAAGGGTAGAAAAAGCAAGCACAATTAAAGTTGTTTCACTCCACTTATTTATGTTTTAATCCAATCAGCTTCGTTTCCTGCAGGCCTACATATGGAGTTCGTTTGTTTCAGGCTCCTAAGGGTGCTGCGGGTGGGTTAGGAAAGTTCACTCAAGTTCAAGTTCAAGCACACTTCAGAGTTGGGAGCAAAGGCGGTTCCCTAGAGATGTTATGGAACATCTCTCTCACACACACACAATGCCGCTCAGGACCACAAAACTGTCCCCACTCCCCAGGGTCCCCAATGATCAAAGCTCTGCGGGCTCATTCGCCGCTCACCTTCAACTTGGCTCCGGCTACGCAAAACATCCACCTGGCTGATTCCCGGGGCCGTCCAGGAGCCGCGAACGCGGAGCTGGCACTAGCGGGGAGGGCCCCGAGGGCGAGAAGCCGGTTCAGGTGAGGGGTGGCAGGCAGGGTACCACCCTCTGGGCACGCAGGCAGCTCCGCGGAGAAATGGGAAGCCCCGGCACCATCCCCTCGAGGAGATGGGGAACGACAATCAGTCTTCACACAGTCCAGCGGGGCCCCCGGGGCTTTGCTTTCGAGAACCGGGCTGGAGAAGGCAGCTTGCAGAGGACCTGCCGCGCGCTCCATAGCTCCTGGGGCCCCTTAGCAGAGAGGACAGAATACACCCCTCCGCGAAAGAGAGTGAGGGGCTGGAGTGATGCAAGCGACGGGTCGGTGAGGCGAGGGAGCCCTGGAAGTCCCTGAGACGCACAGCTAAGTCTGTCTGCACCGATCAGTGATCCGGTAGGAAAAGCGCCCGAGATCGGGTCACGCAGGGGCCTGCACTCGGTAGAAAGTTGCAGCCTTCCTCCCTCCTCCGGGGCCGATCCCACACTCTGCGCGACCCACCGGCGTCCCCCGCCAGCCAAGTTTTCCCCTTCCAAAGCTTTCCCCCACAACCCCTTCCCAGGGAAGTCCCCCGGCGCAAAAAAAAAAGGGGGGGGGAACAGATCCAGCTCCGCAGTCACTTTCACGCAGCAGACACACAAAAGAGCGCGGGGCTTGCGGGTTGGCCCCGGGACGTAAACAAACGGGGTGGGGGAGGGACCCGCCACACCGGGAAGCCGGTCCCCTAGCCGGTCCACACCGGTTGACAATCCCTGACGGGAGTAGTGAAAAGAGGAATGGTGGCGGCTCTGCCCAAGGGGACCGACCGGGGAGCAGCCGGGAGCTCCAAGCCTCCCGCCGTCTCCACGACAAGGGGCCACCCGCCAGCCTGGCCGTCGCCGCCGCCGCCAGCCGCCGGTGGCCGATCTGACCCTCCCCCGGAGCCGGCGGCACCACAGCGCCACCAGCTCCAGCTCCGCCGCGCCGGCGGGGCAGTGGCGGCGGCGGCGGCGGTCCGCGACTCTCTCCTCCCGGAGACAGAGGAAAGAGAGAGACAGGCGCTTCACCCCCCACCAGCAACTCCCCACAAACTTTCCCCGGGAATACGCCGGGGCTGAGCCGGGGGGGAAAGGCAGGACGTGACTGGCGGGAGGGCGACGAGCGTCCCGCAGCTCCCCTGCTCGGCAAGCCCGCCACCCCTCCGGAGTCACCCCGTGGCGCGTCCCCCTCTTTAGCGCGCGCGAGTTCCCACTGAGCCCCCGGGGGGGGGAGAGACCGCCGCTCCCCCCTCCTTCCCACCGGGGTCCCACGACCACGACAGCGCGCGGGGTCGGCCACGACGGCGACGCTGGTGATGGCGATGACGGTGGGGAGGAAGACACCCTCCGGGGTTGAAGGGGGCAGACACCGGGGGGCAAAGATGTTGGTGGCGGCTGGCGGCTCCGGCGCCATCTTGGGCTGATCGATGAATTGAACAAAGAGGATCAATTTCTGATCAAGCCGAGTGATCAATGAGAGCCGGGGAGCCCGAGGGACTCGCCGCCGACTCGGCCCCGCTCTTCTCCCGGCACCCCCCTCCTGCCTTCCCCCGTCGCCTCAGCACCCCCGCCAGGGCCTGGCAGCCCGGAGTGTCACCCTCCTTCCTGAGGGAGGCCGCGACCGCCCGCAGCCCTCACCCCCCGGGCGCGAGGCCGAGCGCCGAGAAGCCTGACCTGCAGCTGCTGTAAATCAAAGCGCTTCCAATATTGAAACATCGATCCCACATTGGCCGCCATCTTGAGACATATTGAGACGGAGTGAGAGGCTGATAGAGAGGGGGCTGGAGTTCAGGAGCCGCCAGGAGGCAGCAGGCGGGCGGGCGCCAAAACCCGGCCTGGAGCCGGCCGCCGCCTCAGCCACCGCGGACGCGGACTCCTTCCTCACGGCGCCGCCGCCGCCGCCGCCGCCGCCGCCACCGCCGCCTCCGCCGCGGAGTCAGGAGCCTGAGGGTAACGCGGCGGCGGCGGCGGCCTTGGCGCGCGCGCGCCGCGCTCTCTCCCCACAGCCCGAGCGCGGGCATCCGGGGCCCTCGCGACCCCTCACCCTTTTTCCCGCGCGCCCCGCCGCGAGCCCCCCTCCCCGGCCGCGCGGCGACCCTGCGGCGGCCCGGCCTCGAGGGGGCGCTGCAGGGTCTCCACCGGGACCCTGACGCTCACCTAAAGGGAGCCTCCCCCTCCCCCCGAAAAGGTCGCGCGGTCGCTGGGGGGGGGGCTCGCCCTGGGGTGAAGTCCCCCGGCTTTCTCACGCGGGGACGGTGGGCTGCGCCGCTCGCGGCCGTGTGCGGGCGCAGCGCTCTTTGGCCCCGTGCATGCGGAGCGTGCCATGACCACCTGCAAAGCCCGCGACCCGGACCCACCGCCCGTCCCGCGCGCGTGTGCCGGGGATGACCTCACTCCGGTCCCCTGTGCGTTCCAGCTGGGGGACCTCCAGACCACATGGGTCACGACCAGTGTTTCACTTTCTTGGAAGTACAATTGTGTAGTGTTAAAGGGAGGGGTTGACCACCAGCCCTGGACCCTCCCGCGGCTGCTGTTGCTGTGCTCGCGTTCATGCCCCACACTCGGTGCGATCCCCAAATTGCACGGGAACACATCAGCAAGTGGCAGCAGGCTCCCCACCCTTCAGAGCCGCTCCAGCTTGGGCCGGGACCGGCAAAGTCTTAGAGTACAGCTCTGTCCCCAACCACGCTTCTGCGACACAATCCAAGAAACTTCCTCTGTGGTTCACTCAGCTCCGCGCCTCGTCTTTGCAGGCAGAAAGTTTGAAAGCGTGCGTTGGTTGCACTCAAAACGGAGCGCGTGTTCCCGAGTTTACAGAAATGCTCACTTTAAAACCGAGAGTCGGGGGAGGAAATTCTCTTTACGTTTCCTCTGGCCCCAAAGTACGCGTTTTAGGATCGTCATCTTTAATGGATTTATTCACACCAGCGAGTTTGCGTTTACAGTAGGGGTACAGTGTTTTCACTCTTCTGCGTCTCGTTGAACGTGTAATTAGTTAAGACAAATCCCCCAAATTCCTTAATCTTTAAAATTATATGTAAATAACGTGTGTATGGAACACAAAACATGACAGTAGAAAATAATTGCTCTCGGGGCCAAGTTTGAGGGTTTAGCGCTAATCGGTTGCGGTGAGATCGATATTTTTGGAGAAGGGGGCTGGAAGTGAAAGTCCCCCCCCCCCCNCCCCCCCCCGAGATTTAAAGAACGCAAGTGTCCCAGATCTTGCAACTGCCGCCCGAAGCGTCTCAGTCACGGAGCGGTCGAGACCCGGTTGCACCGGGCTTCCCAAGTCGCAGCCTCTGAGCCGCAGGAGCGCCACGAAGCAGGTGCGTGGGAGCGCGCGGGCGTCAGGGGGCGCAGAGCCAGCCTCCAGTCCGGATACCGTGACGCGGCGTCAGGAGGGACGCTGCGGATCTCGGGTGGCCGCAGGCTTGCCTGAGTCTTAGGCGCCGGAGCCGGAACGCGCGGGCGGCTGCTCTGCAGTTCCGATCGCGCCGCCCGGTAGAGGGCAGCGGCTCCCCGACACTCGGGTTCTCAGGGTCGTCCCCCCCCCCCCGCCCCCCGCCCCGTCACACTTGCCCACCCGGCTCCGCGTACTTGGCCACTCCCTGTTCGGGGTCCAAGCGGGAAGCAACTACAAGACCACCTTGAGCTACTTAGATCTTACCCTTTTTTTTCCCCTATCTTGCACTTTAGAGACCATCTATGCTTGTGCGGTGGCCGGCAAGAACGACAAAAATTGGCCTAAAGGCGGCTAAACAAAATGTGCGGGAGCCTTAAAACAAGCCAATTCCCTCTCGTGAGGAACGATCGGGGAAATGGTATGGATTTACCACAGATGTTCTCAATCTAATTATCGTGCCGATCCCCTGGGTTTGAACTTTAAAAACTGAAATATATATGACCTGTGTAATAGTCGGGAAATACATCTGGTTGGAATTCAGAGTTCTGAATCCATAGCAATATTTTAGATACAAGTTTGACGGGTATTAAATACAACTGTTCCGTTTCTAGTTATGTTTATATTTTTGCATGTTAACCTGGCTTACATTGGGTGACCCAGAGCTTAAACTTTATTTAAGTAAAATTTAAATTTCTCCTAACATAGTTTTTGAGTTATACAAACTTTTATAGCCCTCAGCCAAGAAAGGCGGGGGTGGGGGGGGGGGAGAATTAGGATGACTTCTCCAATGGCATAAAATGTTCTCATTTCAAAAGTTAAATCACTAATCAAAAATTATCTTGGGTGAATGAAGTAACAATGCAAAGACTTGTGAAAAGATTTTGAAGAGTGCATTTAAGATGTCCGGAACAAGAGGAGACATAAAAAGAAGAGCTTCGAGATGGTGGGGTGTCTCAGTGGGCAGAGCCATTGCTTCGAGACGGTGGGGTGTCTCAGTGGGCAGAGCCATTGCTGTGCCAGTCGGATGGCTTGAGTTCCAGTCCCAGAATCCACGAAAGTGTCCTCTGACCTCCACCCTCTAGCTGTGGCATGTGTGCCACTGCACACATCGTGCACACAAGCTCATCATACTCATAAGTAATAAATGAAATTTAATAAAGAACAAACGATAAGTAGTTCAAAGACTGGGTTTGTTTTTTCCCCCCCATTTCAGGTTGAGGTTCAGGCGAAGTATTGTAAAACCTGCACAGCCACTGGCATCTCAATACAGTGGCTTTACAAAGTTATGAACTGCTTAAAATATTTCAAAAATGGAAGGGTTTAAGAACTTCTGCCTCCATCGCCACCCACAAAGATAACACAATGAGTGATCAGATCTTTCCAGAACCCAGAATGAGAAAGGATGGCTCTGACCCAGGACCAAAAAATAAAATAAAATAAACCCAACATACAATTGATATGACTTTGAATGAGACATAAGAAAAACAATCCAAAGGCATTTGGTCATATTTTTTTTTTAATGTTTAGCTTCTCCCTTTAGGGGAAGAGACTCGCAGTTCCCAAGTGCATGACTAATCGCCACCCCAAGCTTTCCCCATTAAGCCCCCTGTCATCAAATGAGAAAACTGATCAAAATGATATCCATTCCTGGCACCTTTAAATCTGGCTTAGCAGCAAAAGGGCAACTACGTAAGTATTTGCAGGAACCCAGAAATTTCTCTGTCTCTTCTGGGGCTGTTTTTATTGTTACACAAAATGATAAAATAAAATAGGGGTAGCTAACATGGTGGCACACACCTGTCACCCCAGCAGGAGGCAAAGGTAGGAGAGCAAGAAATCCAGCACGATGCATCAGGAATTCGGGGCCAGCCTTGCTGATGAGACCCCGTCTCCAAAAACCAACAACAGCAAATAGTGATAGCAAGACTCCGTTGGGGTTGTGGTAACACTAAGGGATGTCAGAGAAAAGTGTAAGATACCCTGGGGAATTTACTCTTCCCTATTTCTCCTCATAGTGTGAACTCCCTCTTCTCCTGATAGCATCGGGTTTAGTTTGTAAAAACCTGTTAGGTGAATGTTGGCGAATGTATGGTTTCTGAAACCACCATCCAAGGGTAATACCTACTAAACGCATCCTCCCTAGGTGGTCCCAAGAAATGTTCTTCCTAAGAAAAACCAAGGAATAATCTGGAATATTTACCAAACTAAAATCCTAAGAATAAGAGGCAGGCAGATCTCCATGAGTTCAAGGCCAGCCTGGTCTACAAGAGCTAGTTCCAGGACAGGCTCCAAAAATACAGAGAAACCCTGTCTCAAAAAAAAAAAAAAAAAAAAGCTGTCAACACCCAAATACATTTTAATGAGAGTATGAACGGCATTCCGTTGCTCGACATTTTGCAATATTCACTTAAGAAAAGGCTAATTTATCCATTTGTTTCTCCCTTAACCAAACTTGGGATGCCTTGCAAGCAACCACAGACAATTTTTTTTATAATGTTAACTGCATTTCCTTATTGAGCAAGTACAGCCGGACAGAATGACTCTGCAGCCTCACTCAAGGTAATGTGAAAAAAGAAACACCTACTCGGAGTTCAGAGTTTAAACTCTGGTAATTTCCTTCAGCATTAACTGCACAAATCAAACACTTGAGCGCATCCTCGATTTCAAACAAGGGTGAATGAAGGCAGCAGGGGCTGTAGACTCTGGTGACTTAGAAAGGTGTGGCCTGCTTTCCCAGCCACTCGCTTCAAGGACACTAGAGTGGAAGAAAGCAGTTTTGCTCGACTTGAATCTCCTGCGCAGCTACTGCTTCCTTGTTCTGCAGTGTATCTTGCTGGTGGCCTCCTGTCTGATTACCTTTCCTCTCGTTAGAAAGACACCCCCTCCAACCCCACATCCTCTTACCCCACTTCCCATGGCCCAGGGCTCTATTAAACACAAAACTCCTGCCAAATGCCTGTGGCCTCCAACAGTAAAGAAAAAAAATACAGATGAAAATGAAGAAATTGATATAC